CATCAGATAAACAGTTTAATCTTTTTTCTTTTGGCCATTATTTGGCAAATTCTTCATGGGAAACAATCAAGTTAAAGTCTGCAGGACAGAAATGTACCATTTGGAAATAGCTGAAAGTATCTTTGGAAAATATGCTCTCTTTCATGTCCAAATGAAAATGCTTTTATGAGCAATGTTCCAGAAGAGAGGTCGTTTTCGAAGTTGGACGTCACTGGTAAGAGCAACACCACCACCCACCCCCTCCACCTCCCACAAGGGCTTTAGTTAACTCTGGTGATAAGCATACACAAGAGCCTTTATAGAATGACAGTAGGAAACATGAAGAAAAGCTGATGTAAGAAGCCAAATCTATCTGACCCTGTCTCAACAGCACGCTGCCTCCAGCTTGGAGACCCTTGGGTTTGAGAGTGTTCTGTGGATGGTTCCAGTTCAGTTTTCTGAAGGATGGGTGCTCATATCCCCTTGTCTTTGTGTATACCTTTCCCGAATGTTCCCATTTACACAATCACAGCTCTGAGAGAAGAAGAACAACCAAAAGTAGGTAATAAGTGCTCTGCTGCCTCATATTATTTGATGAAATATTTTTCAATTTGAGTGAAAGTAATGGAGAGACCTTCCTTATTTTGGTTTTGAGAAGACTATACCTATCCACTCTCTTTTAAACAACCTTTTAAATTTTGTCATGCTCTTGTAACTCACTGTGAGCAGGTTACTGTTCTGTGAAGTGGATTACTTTGCCATATTTAGCAGTAAGTATTTAAGCTCTTGAGTAGTGGTTCTAGTCCCTCTGGGAGGTAAGGGAGGGCCTCTGTGCTTCCGTCTTCCCTGTAAATAGAGTTTGCCAGACACTATAACAATGGATACTCCAGAAAAAGCCTTTTACTTGAGTCACATCTCATAAGGATGTCACTGCTCTCTCTTTTCCAAGGGTACAGTTTTTCAAGTGCCACTACCCACAGTGTATGTCATCCTCAGTATGCTTTTTCTTAACCCGCTTTACTGAAGTGATCTGATTCTTCCTGTCCTCCCTTACCTCTATAAGACAACTAAGGAAAACCTACCACCATGTGAAAAGCCTTATTGCGTTCAGCAAGCCCCAAGGCAGGGGCCACGCTGAGAGTTGGGCTGGTGGTGGAGATTACAGCAAAATGGACTTTGTTACCGTTATTGGTGTTGCTACCCTGAGTTTTAGAAACTTTTAGTCTCGTATTACCTGCAGCTAAGTAGAAAGGGGATGTTGTAACAGGATCACAACTACCCTCCTCTCACCACCATCTGCTGCAAGTTTTTGCAGCATTCTTTATGTATTTATTCATTCCATAATTCATTCTACTACTTTCACTAAGGTTACTACAGACAGGCATTCACACCCTCCACCACAATCTACAAAGGTAACAAGAAAACTGGGGGTAGCAGCAGGCAGCATTTTAGCAAAAGATGATTTTCAGGGATGGCTGTGTGGCACTCTGTAAAGTGTAGTAATTCAGAGTGCCCACAGTGACCCCTTAAAAGCAAACCACCTTACCCAAAGTGTATCATATTTTTATATTACCTGAAAATATGGGGTAGTTAATAAAAATATTTAACCTGAAATTTTGAGCAACAAAACCCAGCAGTAGGCCACATATATGCAAATAAAAAGGCTGGATACTTGTATCCCTATGTGCTTCCTTGGGAAGAACTTTTACTGATTGTCTTCTGCCACCTAGTGATCTGAGACAGGAAAAATTCGAGTTCCCCTGTGGTGATGTGTGACATCAAAACAAAGGTGAGCAGGAGCAAAAGCAGCAGAGACAGAAAGGAAGATGTGAGCCGTGCTACTGTAAAGCTACAGAGTGGTCAGAAGAAGAGGAGATGAAAGGAGGGAAGCAAGAGGCTTGGGAATACAGCAGTTACCTGCTAAATGAAGCCCGACCTGATATCTCAGTTTGGGCTCTGCCATGGTTTATTACGGCAGTCAAGGTAGCACAAGGACAGAGCTGAGAGCTCTGAGGGAGTTCTGCAAGTTTTCCTAAGTGGTTTCAGGTCAGGCCAGATACCGCAATCATTTATTCAAGGTAAACGCATAGCACAGAGAGTACCTCAGCTGACTTCAGCTGAGCTGTTTGTAATAACAGTGAGTAACTGCAAGGACAAATTCCTTTTTTTGAAACGCCTGGGCATGATTATTCAATAAACTGTCGGGGGTGGATGTCTTTTACGTGGTATTTGTGAGTTGAAAATAGAAAATGGCTTTTTTCAGTGGCTCCTTGGGGAACAACATGTAACACAGAAATGGTTTAAGATTAACACATAAGAGACTTTAAAGTCTATCCCTGTGTAATAATTGGCGTAATACGGCCAAATAGCCAAGTAGAGTCAAATCAGATTTTTGCAGGACAAGTTCAGTCAGCAGTGAAGGATACTTGTAAAATTTGGGGTTGTAGAGGTAATAAAGCAGTTATGGAAGCTGGCTGGGACAGTGTGATGTAACAGCAGTCATTTGATATGGGCATCAATTTTTTTGTGTCCCTGCTGGTATTTGAGCTCAGATGCTACAGCAGTGCAATTGTGGGGTTTTTTTTTCAGTAGGGGGAAACAACATTGGTATGGACTTATCCACAGTCTTCTTCCTCTATTTGAACCAGAGCTGTTAGTTTGGGAAAAATGCCAGATTGGTGGAGTTATAATATCTGTTTTGCTCCGTGTATGAGAGCCTCTGACAGGAAGTAGGCACGTAATGCACAGTTCCTTTCTACTTTTCAGTCTGGAGGGAGTTCCTAGGTGTATAATCCCACAACCGCTAAAGTCCTGCTCTCCCATTTTTTGCTGTCTAACAGTATTTGCTGTCATACAGCTGCTAACAACACTCCCAGGCTACTGCTTCATTTTACAGGTCGAGAAGACAGACATCAGAGGGCGGAGAAACCTTCCCAAGTACATGGGGGGCCTGTGGCAAAATCCACAACTGGACACAAGTCCAGGTTTACCTACCCTCCTATGCACAGGGCCATTCTCCCCAACATGGGGACTCAAAACATGGCAATGCAATTGCTGCTGAAGTAGGAACACCTCCCTAGCACGTGAAAAACAAGTAAGCAACAAGACCCAAATGTAATACTTCCTAGGTATATTTAATCCTAGTGACAGGCAAGATTTTGCATGTGAAAGGTGGAGATTTTCTTATTTCGTCTAGACAGATGTGGTCCTGAACTCCCATCTGTACTTGCCACCAGGGAACAGGCAGCGACCCCGTGTAGTGTGCTCCCATCTCCCTGACAGTTCTAGCCACCTGACAGCGAAGGCACCAATCAATCAATACGGCAGAAAAGAAAATATCTGTTTTCACTATGGCAGCCATAGCAACCTGCAAACTCTGATCAATGCTTTCTGAGGTCTGCACTGGTTGTCATAGTGAATCCCTGTGCTGCAGGATGCCATAGCAACAAGAAAATGCTTTTTTTTTTTTTTTTTTTTCCTCTGTAAAACCATTGTGAAGCAGTTCTGAGCTAAAAAGTAAACTGTTTTTCACCAGTCTGTTTTTCTGAATATTCCCAGGTTTCGGATTTCGAGCTCCACAAGGCATGTAATACATTATTGTATTAATTGAAGTACTTCCATTGGCTCGTATGGAATTTAAAACCAGCTTGAAATCAGAATGAAATCCAACAAAACAAATCTGCATTTTATTTGCGCTGGTATAAATGTACGGTAAATCCAGTTTCAGTGAAGATCCCCCAAGCTTAGACTGATGTAAACAAGAGGAGAATTTGATTCAGCCTCCCAAACACGGAATTTTTGTAACCTGGCACTTGTTTTTATGTTTGATACCCACAGCTTAGGATAGCAGCAGACCTACTCATTCCGTGGGCATCCTTGCAGAGCCGGGGATGGTGCCACATGGGTGCCCACAAACTCCAAACCTGGGGCCTCACACCATCTGTGCCCCTGGATGCCAAGCAGGGCTCTGTGCTCCCCTCGCCCTGCCCCAACGCACCAGGCACAGATTTGTCTTCTACCATTGATGGTGGGGTTGAGGCTCCCAGCCACACACCACTGCTGAGCAACGTGCGTAAATGACTTTAAAGCTACCTGTATCTAGTTGGAATTTGGAGGTCTGTTAGCAACCCACAGACTCACACAGACTCATTTGGGAACCACTGTGTGGTGGAAAACAGACTGGCCGCTGCATAGCAAATACTGTTTCAGTCTGCAGAAGAAAAGAATTGGTATTCATATTCTGTCTCTTTAGCAGGTTGCCTCTCTCTCTACTCATGTCTTTTGTGAGAAACAGGTGATACCTGGTTTGGAGAACACTTACCTGGCTTGGAGAACACTTACCTGGCTCCATAACTTGCTGTATATGAGTTGCCATTTTGATACAGTCAATTATTTACATGTTCACAAAGGTATACAGTTTGCAAGTGCTGTTGTGGTATGTGGAATTGGAAAAAGAGGGTTTTTTTTCCAACTGCCTTACAGACAATTAAAATAGAAATATTTCTGTTCCCTACCAGTCTTGCCTCATTTATATATTTCAGTGCTCCTCTAGGTTGGGGCCAGAAAGAACTTTTCTTTGACTGTACATGCCCTGAGCATGATCCGGGCATGCAGTATGTTCACTGCAACTGCTGTACACCGCACTGTGCGAAACATTTCCTGGAATTATAACTGGTGATTTTTAGCGAATGCTACAGTACAAAGCTCCACAAGGCTATTAGGTATGTACTGACATCCAGCGGGTAGCTTCTGAGAGGGACGGATTGAGTCACGCCACCTGTGCTTCTTTAACTTGTCACCTGCTTTCAATACAATCTCTTACACATGGCACTGCCGCCCCAGTAACCACAAAGCAGGTTAAGCTCTCCCTTTTTTTTGCAAGACCTTTGAAAGAGAGATACCTCCATATAGGCTTCATCCGTTATTTAACCCATTATTCCCAAAATGTTCCTGTTGATCTTTGAATCTATACAGAATGCTAGCAAGCATTTGATGAAATCAAGTATTTATTCACAGGTCTGTGTTGCAGGTTTACTGTTGCTGGCAATCTTGTTGTCGGAAATGTGCTCCCGAGCACTGATAGTTTAGGGTCCAAGTTAGGGTCCAAGTTTACAAGTGAACTGCCAGGGGTGAAATGCACAGTTCCCTCTTCGTGTAAAGAGATGCAAAGACCTCTAGACTGAACTTCAAGCACCACCACACGGACAGAAGGTAAATAGTCCCCTGAAGGCATGATGGTACTTGTTAGCAATCCCCTCCTGCCTTCACTGCTTTTTTTGCTACGTTTAGGATACAACATGCCATATATATCACCTTTTGATTGAGCCATCGGCAAATCAGGTGGGCAATCTCTTTGACCAGGTGTAGCTAGAGCAATGTCGCATATTCTCCACTAACATTGCCCTCCACGGAATCCTGCTATAGAGGAGTCCTGAAAAAGAAGATGAACATATCACATCTTTGCTGTGGGAGGAAGGCTGCTGCCTCAAGCTGCGTGAGAGGCTTTTTTAGAATTTCATGCATGGATGTCTTTACTAGCCAGGGTAGACCTTTCAACCAGCTTACAATTGTGGGAATGGGAAGAGCAGCCACTTCAAAAGGCAAATAATATTAAATAAGAGCACTCTAGAGAGCAGCAAGGAGAAAGAGTGCCAGTGGTGTCTTATAAACAGGAGGTTGGAGTGCCTTCTGCTTATCAGTGAGAGTTAGTGTTTCTGAGTAATTTCCCTTGACAGAAAGTATTTATTTCAGACTCTAACCTTATTTGAAAACTAAACTGTTATAACCAGGATATTGGCTAAAAAATTGTGGACCATGCAGTTTTCTTAGGAGAGATTTGCATAAAGTATTTGAATATATATTTATCATAATCAGGATTAGCAACATTCTTTAAAAGTACTGAAAACTGAGACTGATGTGCAGTCTTCTAAATCTAGGTGGATAAGGCCAAAGAAAAACACCTAACAATACGAAACCCACATTAAAAATCACAAGTAGTAGTAATGCTCGCCTTTATAATTTTTTAGAGGATTTAGTTAATAAGCTGAGTTTTACAGGAAACTAGCATCTTTCACAATAAGTCCAAATAAATGTTCCCTGAAAATATCTGTACTGGCAGCTGTTTAAGTTTAGGGAATGAATTTCCCTAAACAGATTCTGCAATAACTAATGGAAGACTGAAAAGTTACTTATTGCTTTATCAGAATAGACTGTTTCATTTCCATCTGATCAATTATTTCTTGGACGGTCTGTCAGGACTTTCTGATGTTCCTGTACTTCAGTTCTGAGCCTTTTTGCTGAATCTTTGGCATTAACAATGTCATAGGATAGGAATATATATAAATATATATGTCACAATCTTTTGCAAAACAATCTGCAAAGAACTTTTCAGTTTTGAAGTCCATGAGTCTGAAACTTAAGAACATAACAGACAATTCTCTTCAAGAGGATCTTCTAGAAGTCTTCAAGATTCATTAATGTTGTTTTTTTTTCGCAGGGAGTAGTCTGTGACCTGATTTTACCCACATTCGATTTGCAGTACAGCTCTATCGTTTCTGATAGGAATACAGCTCTGAATTCCTGGTTGGTGACTCCAGGATAAATTTTTACAATTCTTAACAACAAAACAGGGAACAACCTCCTTGATCAAGACATAGCCTGCATATCTCCACCTCTGTGGGCAGAAGGAGGGGGACGGGGGCACACAGTGGCTGGTCTCTGATTGGGATGCTTCACTGAGGAGCTGCTGAGGAGCACCACGTTAGCAGCTCAGTCCACATGCAGCCATCGTTATCAGAATCATAGAATCGTTTATGTCAGAATTGACCTTTAGGATCATCAAGTCCAACCGTTAGCCTAAGACTGCCAAATCTACCACCAAACCATGTCCCTCAGCACCACGGCTGCACATCTTTTAAATACCGGCAGCGATGGCAATTCCACCACTTTCCTGGGCAGCCTGTTCCAATGCTTGACAATCCTTTTGGTGAAGATATTTTCTAATATTCAATCTAACCCTCCCCTGGTGCAACTTGAGGCTGTTTCCTCTTGTCCTATTACTTGTTACTTGGGAGAAGAGAACGACCCCCACCACGCTACAACCTCCTTTCAGGTGTTGTAGAGAGTGTAGACAAACTCCTTTCTCCAAGCTAAACAACCCCAGTTGCCTCAGCTGCTCCTCATAAGACTTGTGCTCTAGACACTTCACCAGCTTTGCTGCCCTTCTGTGGACACGTTCCGGCATTTTACCGTCCATCTTCTAGTGAAGGGCCCAAAACTGAACACAGTATTTGAGGTGGGGCCTCACCAGGGCTGAGTACAGGGGAACAATCACTTCGCTAGTCCTGATGGCCACACTGTTTCTGATGCAGGCCAGGATGCTGTTGGCCTTCTTGGCCACCTGGGCACACTGCTGGCTCATATTCAGGTGGCTATCAACCAGCATCCCTAGATCCTTTTCCTTCAGACATCTTTCCAGCCACTCTTCCCCATGTAGCACTGCACGGGGTTGTTGTGACCCAACTTCAGGACCTGGCACTGGGTTCCAGTTCTGGGCTCCCCAGTTCAAGAAGGACTGGCAACTGTTGGAGAGGGTACAGCAAAGGGCTAAAAAGATGATTAGGGGCCTAGAACATCTGTCTTATGAGGAAAGGCTGAGGGACTTGGGTCTTTTTAGTCTGGAGAAGAGAAGGCTGAGGGAGGATCTGATCAACGCCTATAAATACTCAAAGAGTGGGTGTCAGGAGGATGGGGCCAGTCTTTTTTCAGTGGTGCTCAGTGACACCAGTGGACAGAAACTTGAACATAAGAAGTTCCATCCAAACATGAGAAGGAACATCTTTACATCGAGGGTGACAGAGCACTGGAACAGGCTTCCCAGAGAGGTGGTGGAGTCTCCATCTCTGGAGACATTCAAAACCTGCCTGCACGTGTTCCTGTGAAACCTGCTGTAGGTGGACTTGCTCTTGCAGGGGGTTGGACTAGATGATCTCTAGAGGTCCCTTCCAACCCCATATCATTCTGTGACTCTGTGTGATTCTTGAGCTGGGGAGCCCAGAACTGGGTACAGTACTCCAGATGCACCCTCACCAGGGCAGATTAGAGGGGGTGGATGACCTCCCTCGACCTGCTGGCCACACTCTTCTTCACACTCTGTCCCCTCATCCAGGTCTCTGATGAATATATTGAACAAGACTGGACTCAGTACTGACACCAGGGGAACACTGCCTGTTACAGGCCTCTAACTGGACTCTGCACCGACTCCGATCTGTAACGGGAGAAGAGGTTTGCAGCGAGAGGGATCTTGCATTTGTTCCAGTTTAATTTACGAGTAATTTCAAGCAAGTCAGAGGAACTGGGCCGTAAAAGATAGAACATAAAGGTTTGGGTAGGTGTTCATACTTGTTGTGCAAAAGGAGATTTTTTATTACCTTTCCACCAACAAACATGACTCTCATATATGATCTATCTCCTCCCCAAAATTAAGGCTTAATCCAAGCGCAGTGCAAAGCAGGTTTAGCCAGCATTTGGCAACATCCTTTCCAGGAACTCAGGCTGTAGTTTCGTCCAGGGAAGATACTCTGCGAATCATTTACACTGGGGAAGGAATGAAAACAGAAATCAGATATATTCCCTTTCTCTTATGGGAATATATATATGTGTATATATATATGTACACATATATACACGCATACATATGCACAAACACATACACACACACACTTTCTCAAAAGCAACTTTGAATGTGTTAAAATTTTAATGAGAAATGAAACAGAGAAGACTTTCCAAACACCAGCCATGTGCCATGACCACATGTTCTCCCTTTTTATCAGGGTGAAGCCTGGTTTTCTGTATAAATTCCTCATGCCTCGGATATATATCTTCCTATTTAATTGAAATAATTGAGGGTTTCACTTCACTATTCAAGGCTTTTGCATCTTTGAAGCATTTGCTCAACATTGATTCTGGTGAAAACAGAGCAAGTTCTTGTCTTTGTAGCAACCTAGTAGAGTTAAAATTAGTGTAATGAGGAGAAGCTCAAATGATAAAGATATATGAAAGAAGGAGTGTACCCAATATCACAAATTATTTTTACTGTGCAAGAAAGTTTTTGACAATAGATCAATGTTGTGATGAACTCATTTGGAAGTTTAGGTTGCACAAACAGAAATTCCTTGCAGTGATTTGCAGGCGCTGATGTTCTGGCAGATGCTGGTAATCTTGATATTAACATGAATAATTTCTATAAATTACATTTTTTGGAAATACTTGAAATCAAAAGATGCTACCATAAAAATGACACCATCTTACATATTGTATATGCCCATATTCAAAGCTATATTTTTTGCCAGGGCATGGAAGAAAAAAATGTATGTGTCAAAGAGTAATTCAGAAAAAAATATCATCTGAAATTAGAATTGGAATTTGGATTCCTAACATGAGGAGTTAAACATCATAAGAAATTTCAAATTGCCACAAGTCTTGATACTAAGTAAAAGTAACAAGAACCTCTCTAAATACAAACAACCTGCTTTATTTAAGCAACAGAGTATGACACATGACAATCTATCTTCAGCCTTTTGCGAAGCTCAGGTTTGGACAAAGATGCTTTGAGTTCTCTGTTGGTTCTATTTGTGTTTTGCATGTAACAAAGGAATGCCCAATAAAAGGAAAATAATTCAGCAGCATTAAACTATTAATTTCTTTAAAAGATACAAGTTAATGGGAAACAGGTGCCTATGAAAAAAATGGCAAATACAAATGGCTTTTAGAGAATATATGAGTTCCTAAATTATGCCGGATAATTTAGCACAGAGGGATAAACAGTTCCTCAATACCTGGTAAAGAGTTGTTGGCAGCATTGAACCAGCCTTGTGCTGTTGGCAGGGAAATCTGTGGAGTTGAAGACGTTTTCTAATAAGCCGTGGCAAGAAACTTCCAGACCAGGGCTAGTCAGCATTCCTATGAAGTAAGTAACAATTTTCTTAATGAGTAATGAAGAGGAAGATAAGACTTGGCGATGTCAGTCCCTGGGTTATGGTCAGATGAAACACTCTGGCTGATACAAAATCACCCCCTCAGTTGGTTCTGTGAAAGGTGCAATATTAAAACCCTCGAACTGTGGGCTTTTACAGAACTAGATTAAGGAATGACCACAAAGTCTTTATGCTAATGGCTTTCTTACTGCTTGGACAGTGTGCCTTCATTAGCTAAAATTGAGCTATGCTGCATTTATAGCCATGCAAGCAAATGCAGGACCTTTTCTTTTCTTTTAAAAGGAGATAGTTATGGTTTATTTATCTTTGCTTTGCTAGATGTTCTCCAAAATTTTCTATAAGTAGCAATGTCAGCATTCATTGCAGTGATGGAGACAGAAAAATATGAAAGTGGCAGTTCTTTCTTGTACATAGTGTTGTGGAACCCAAACACATTTTTAATATGTTCTTATCTTGACTGGGGTGTAGAAAACATTTGTCTCTTTTTCCCTCTTCTGGGCATAAGGAAACCATTTGCCACAGCACAAATGAGTGGAATGTAATTTTCTTTCCAAAGCAGATTTTATTGTTTTGGAAAGATTTCCCAGTGGCTGCTCACAATTTTATTCTTAAAGCCAGGATTGTGAAATGACAAATTTTAGTAGGACTTCCTGACTCAGTATTCTATAACCTTCAGCAAATAGTGTGGCTTATCTTTAAAATGTATGTGTTTCTGTTGCTGTAGTGAACACAAAGGGATAAGACCAGCTGTGGTAGAAACAGACATACTGTTTTCAGCTACATAAAGCACGAAGATCTTTAATCACTGGAGGAATATGAGGGCTTTTACCTTCATCATGCAATTCTGCGTATCACTTGCTCAGAAAGGAAAGCTAGGAAAGGGATTGTTAAATACTGGGGATAAATTTTACCTAATGAATCATAACAGGTCAATTAATTAATCTCCTGAATCACTAATATTATGGTTTTTGTTTTGTTTTGCCTTGTTTTAATTTCCTCCCTAAAAACGGCTGCTGCATTGTGTCTCTTTACTCAGCTTGAAGGTGAGAGTTTGAAAATAAGGGTTTGTTGTTGAGTCTCACCTCAGGACAATTTCATTAACTTAAATGCGCTGTGGGAATATTATCAGCCCAAAATACCCACTTAAAATTAAGGAAAAAAGTTGTTAAAAGCTTCCTCATCACTCCTTCTCTGTTACACCCTCCTTCCATTCCAATTCTCCGTTCTGCTCCATAATTGCTTCTATATTTCTGTAGCTAACAGCGTGGAGGAGGGATTGCAACATCTGTAACTTGCTTTGTTTGCGAGTTGTGTGTTACACACGGGCCAACAACAAAAAAGAGGTAACACACGATGGAAGAAAGAAAATAAATCTTTTCATATTCCAGTTTTCAGGGACCTTTGGTGGCATATTGACTTTTAATCCTGCCAAAGCCAAAAATACTAGCGTTTTAGTGACAGCAGCTGCCACTGCAGGGACGCACTGCCACCCTGTGGGAAGTGGCTCCAAGAGACACCAGAGCTGGGACTCTTTAGTCTGGCGAAGAGAAGGCTGAGGGGAGACCTTATCAATGCCTACAAGTATCTCAAGGGAGGGTTGAAGGAGGAGGGAGCCAGACTCTTTTCAGGGGTTCCCAGTCAGAGGACGAGGGGCAACGGGCACAAGTTGGAACATAAGAGGTTCCCCTCAAATATGAAAAAAAACTTCTTCACTTTGAGGGTGACAGAGCCCTGGAACAGGCTGCCCAGGGAGGTTGTGGAGTCCCCTTCCTTGGAGATTTTCAAGACCCACCTGGATGCAGTCCTGAGTAACATGCTCTGACAAGCTCTAGGCAATCCTGCTTCAGCAGGGGAGTTGGACTAGATGATCTCTATGGTCCCTTCCAACTCTAAAATTCAGTGAAACTCAGTGAAATTCAGAGAAGGGTACGGTACCTGCAATACAGGCTGTCATGAAACAGGCGGCGGTCCCCGCAATCATTGCCCTGAAGGCGCCACCAGCTATCTCCGATTTTTTTGAGGGAGCAATGCTTGCTAGGGAGAAAAATTAAAGTGTGTGTCAAACATACATATTTATGAATAAGATGAACCTGCCAGCCCTCCCACCACACAAGGGAATTCCCTCCCTGAAGTTCGGACCAGGAGGAACAAGGAGGAAAAATGAGGCAGTTTTAAGCGGACCATTTGAAGGCCCAGTTGACTCTTTCGGATAAGAAGGTGGCTTGTGTATAAAATGGTGACTTCTGGTTGCTTTGGCAGTCGGTACATCTGTGCTGGCTGATGGTGGCTTTCAGATGCAAACCCTGGGCACAGCACCAGGGTCTGTCCTCACCTCTGTGCCCTGCTCCTTCATGATGCTGCTGCTGCAGAGCCCACCTGGACTCCAGGGTAAATGCAGCTGCCAGCAGTTCTGGCTGCTGATTGAAAAACCACATGGATTTTCAATTTTTCTTTTTCCCTTGAGATCTGAAAAGGTTGTTTTTTGGTTGTTTTTTTCCCTAGAAGGCTATTCCAGATTGGTGAGCCAACTTTGTCTTTCTAATCAGCAGGCTACAGAAATAGTTTGTTCCTCCTGAAGCCCGAGGGCTGTAGTAGCTCACACTCATGGTGTGATGGCTGGGCAGGGAGGCCTATTGGCAGGACCTGGTTCCCCACTCCTGCTCTTTAGCCCCTCTCCCAGGACCTCCATGCCAAAGCCTGCGCCCTTCTGGGAGGCCTTCCATGCACAGTTGGGTTCTGGTTCTTAGCAGAACAGCTGCTTAGCCCCTAATGCTGCTAAGTTTCACCCACAGCCTGTTTGTTTGGGTGTTTTCTTTGGGATTTGCTTGCCAGATACATTGTCCATGAGAGGTGTTCTTACTCAGGCCTCCTATTACGAGTCCCAGGGAGGCGAAGTTGGCAAACCCACAAAGAGCATAGGTGGCAATGACTTCAGAACGAACCTGGAAAACAAACACACACCCTGTTGAGTGGTCTGAGACAGCTGGTGCTGACTTAGAGGTCTGAAAACATGGCATTGTGGCTCAGGGCCCTGAGTACTGAATTCGCCTGGTTGTTGCCCCAGTGCACAGCTTTCAGCAAGGCAGGCTCATTCTCCTGCTGGAAGGTGCAGGCTTTCACACCCACTGCCCGTGTGAGGGCTCACATACCATGTGATGGTATTATTTTTCATGTATACTGCTGTGCCAAGCTTGCTGAATTGAGCACTTCTAATTAAAAGACAAAAAAATAATTCTTATCTTATTAGTGGGAATTTAGCTGCTGTTTTTTTGAAGGCATGGGTCAGACACCTTTAACTCAGCTTGTTGTTCATAGCTGGACTATCTCTCTAACACTTTGTTGAAACCTCAAGTTTTGGTACATATCCCTTACTTCCTTGACCCTGAGCAAGCAGCTCAGTCTGGACCTCATACCAGAGACAAGGTTGAGTTGGCCTTTCCCCCCATGGAGGGACCTCTCACAGGACACAAAATGACTTTGGGTGAAATCAGACTACAAACCTTGCAAACCTTGAGATAAATGTAGTTCAAACATTTGGCAAAGGGGGCAAGATATCTCAGTAAATGGATTTTTGACCCCATGGCAGCTCTGAACTCCTATTTACTGAGTTTCAGGCCCAAGCTGAATACACATGTGTAAGTGTTCTAGTAGGTTTCCTGTTTATTAGAAGTTTCTCTTTTTCCATTTCTGTTTTATGAAAGCCAATTTGTAGATATTTTCAGTCACTCTATGCACATGCAGGAAAATGCTTTTCAAGTACCCACTATACCTGCTTTTCCTAGAAATGGCTTTGTGTAATGTGATTTCCCTGCTTTCATTTGCACTTTCCTAGCTCTGAAAACAGGAAGTTTTTTTTATTACTGAGTCAGATGAGTGAGTTCAGAAGATCGTTTGTTTTCTCACTTTGATTGAATATCTGTGCCTGGGTGTATTAGGGAGTTCTAAAGCTGAAGAGTAATTAAAAGTGGGAGTCAAGTGCACTCTCACCTGATCTGTTGTGCCATAAGTAAAATGGTTACTGGCAATTTTTACGAGTGTTATGAATCCAAATTATTGTTATATCTCAGATTTTTTTTTACCATGGAAGCTTTTACAGCTCTATACAGGTATCAGAAGTGAACACGGAAGTTCTATATGACAACTTATTTAAAAAAAACGCAAAAGGTGAAATACAGTTGATGGGATCTGAATTTTAAGGCTGACTTCCAGATTAAAAAAAACCAAACCACTCATTCAGGAGTTCAGAGCCATATTCTGCTTGTAGAGCATAGCAAGGTAGATCAAAGGCCCATTTAGCTCAGTATTCAATTTCCAGGAATTCCAGGAACACTGGTAATGGATGCTCAGGCAAGCATGTGAGTATTTGATCAGACCACCTGGCTTTCTACCTCCACTTGTGTAATATGTTCTGGTAATAAGGAATGCAAGTGGCCAGGAACATGTTTTTGGTTTTGTATATAAGGCAGGTAATCACAGTATCACACCACATTAAATGAAGATTAAAAGATGTACAAAAGGATGCTTCCTAATTAAGGGTCCTCCACAATGACAATTTGTCTTGGTTTCAGGAAGAAAGGTCAGTGCAGGCGTAAAGCTGGATATGATGGTTTTTGTTGCAAGTGCTTAGAATGAGGACAAATTCAGCACAGGCTCTGCACGTGGATGCCAGATGGGGTAGCAGTCATAGCTGCAAAAGTCAGCCTTGATCACTGCATGCTGAGTTTGCTCCTGTGCACACACCTACGGTGCCCTTTGTATTGCCATCCTCTTGGTTTCTTCCTCAGCGAATTGTAGTAGGAATTACGTAACCTGTTGGATGAATCTGTGTGTGTGTGTGTGTGAATGAGAGGTGAACCCAGGCTCTGGCTGGAAATTGTCATGCAAACTAACTTCCACTGGCAATTGAAACAAACTGGTTGGACTCAGTGAAGCGAGGGAGGTGTATGCCATGCAATACATGTTATGTATTATTGCCCTTTACAAAGAAGACAATAACCTCTAGCAGAGGTGTGCCAGTAATACCTAAAATGCTATCAGCTAAAGCTTGTTGGATGACTCTCTTGAAACTTAATGCTTGGCTAAACCTCTGTGGCCTCCTCCAGTTCTTGCCCAGGATTTTCCTGGGAGAGTGTCTTATAGGGAAGAGTGAGGTAAGAAAAACTCACCTTGAAGACAGCCTTGGTCTTAAGAGCAGTGTCCTGTGAGACATTGCAAGTTCCCCAAAAATATACCTTTCTTTTGCTGTTTGTTTGAGATAGCTGTGGGATGACAGTCATGGCAGCCTCACAAAACAATGCTACATTTTCATAATTGAACCTTGCGACTGAAAGACACACTTTAGAGTAATATGCCGCCCCCATCCCTTTGTGCCCATATTAAAAAATAAGTTGAGTTTCAGAAGAAAAGTACTAGACCTAATAAATGTGCAGCATAGAAAACATTACTTACAGCCATATACTGCTTCACACCATTCACGTACATGCTCCCACCCTTCTCTCGCTTGTGAATCAGTTCTGAGAGGCGCTCATAAGCCACAAATTCGTTGAAGAAAGTCTTGTAGCCTAGTAGTCCACCAACAATAAAACTGTCTTCCCAGTCTATCCCCATCATGAAAGAGAATGGCATGAAGACATAAGCACAAATGTTCTGCAAAATCATAAGACAAAGCAGGTCAAAAGGCATGGTCGGTTAAAGAACAATGGCATGTGATAAATTGTCTAGACAAAATAAAGATTATTTTATTTCAGCAGAGGAAAATTGGCCTTGAATTCTTACTGCCAAGACATCAGGGAGACTGAGGGTTTATAATAGTATGGTATGCTTCTGTGATTTTTAAAAGACTAATCCAAAAAACTAGATATAACAAAGAAATCCCTGAAGTCAAACAAAAGCTTCTGTGCCTTTTTGCCCCCAACAATGGCTTTAGATTGGGCATAGTGCTTGAAGCAAAGGAGGAGGGTTGAGTTAAAAGAGCTGATAAGAGAATTGAGAAGTCTAGTTCTTCTGCTAATTAAATCAAGTGTGTTAACGAACATGCTTAATTACCAGGTTACTGGACTCCAACTGGAATAAACAAAAGACAACTGGGGTAAACAAAAGACTTGTCTCTGCCTAGAAGCTGTGCATCTGACATAATTAAAGTTGTACCTTTTTTCCTAGCATTAAAAGTTTTATGCAACCTAAAAAAAAATCCCATATCATAGTATGGCTTTTTTTTATATGACAGAGAAAATAGCTCCAGCTGTGGAAGGGTTTGGTCCGATTGTCTTTAGTGGATGTAACTGAGCTGTTTATGCAGTTCCTATTTGTGGTTTCTCTGCCCACAAAAGGTGAGAATTTAGTGTCTCTCAAAAGGGGTGGATGGCTGAGTGAAACGTGTTTGAGGGTCTCAGCTCCTTATGGGTTATCTGTGCAAATCTTTCTCCATCCAGCACTTATCAAAATACCAGCTCCTGCATGAGTGTGGCTGAGGTATGTGTACTTGTGCCTTCCCTCTGCAGTGGGTGTCTGTGCAGTGGGGTAATCTCTGGAACCTGTGCGGGGTAACATCATAATATTGCTGAAGCCACATCTGCTATGAGTGTCTACTCACTTCTGCAGCACCGTTATCACTATGTTATATCTGTGTTTCACACGTCACTTTTATTAGGAACTTGCAAAACAAAAACCCCAAAACCATTGAGCCAAGACTGTTGCGTTGGGTCAAAACCGATGTTTGACCGAGGTTAAAAGAGCAGTCCTGTTTAAAACCTGTTTGCTCAGTTTTACAATTTAATTGAGAACTGAGTGGTATTGATTAAGTGTGGGTTAGGAGTGGGGCCTTGTCTCAGTGTCCTTGCCTAAGCAAAGCTAGGAAGCATGCATTAAGGACTTGATGGGGCTCTCTGAAGCCAAAGTCACTTTAGTGTTTAGCTGAAAAGGATGTTAATGTCTTAGCAAGTGTGTAACTAACGGACACATCTGCCATGCTGCAAAGTCAGAGCAGGCAGATATCAGCATACAATGCTCTGTAAACATACTCTGCTAGTTAGCAAGACCACCACAGAGGGAAGCCATACATGGACTAATGGATAGAGAAATATTTACATGGCAACAACTTTCCTTTGGCTGTAAAGACATTTTTCAAGAACGCGCACATAAAAATATACATTATGCATGTGTATATGCTGCATGAAGACCATACCTCAAAGTTCAGCTCTGGATAGTCAAACAGACTGCCCACCCAAGAGAGGGCTGCGTCAATGAAAGCCAGTATGGCAAGGAAGGAGATGAGATTCACAGCAATGTTCGCCACCAGCGGGATGGAAGTAGAGGCACCTTGACTGGCTGCTTCCAGAAGGTTCTTCGATTCACTTTATCAATTAAAAGAAAGCCAGAGTATGAACATTTTTTAATTCAAGAACAAATCATAGAACTAAAAGTTACACGGACTTGATTAAAAATCTACTACCAAAGCTGTCTGTTCCTTCACAGTGAAAATACTGATGAGGTGGAGTAGCTTTTTGCTCTTGACCCTTATGGAAACCACTGGAAGGGTATACTTTGAGGGCCTGAGGATCAATTGTGGCACATTCAGGGTTGGGACAGCTCAGGTTTAGGTCTCAGTGCTGTGACTGCCTGTAGTATCACTGGGACAAGTAAGTGGATACTGCTCTTCTTACAGGTAGCACTTGCAGAGATGCCCAGGCTGTTGAGGAACAGGTCCTTACAAGCCTTTTTGCTTCGCCTGTCATTGTCAAGGCAAATGAGTCTCCTTGTAAATGGACAATAAGTTCACTGCTGTCATTTTTGAAATGATTGCTCTATCTTTGCCTCTGTATGTTTGCATTTACAGTTTTGTTACAAAGCAAAAACAGCAACAGAGGGAATGGGAAAACCTCTTGGTGGCTCGCCTCAGGTAGGCATTTCTCTCTTTCTTTGGAAGGTTTTTTGTCTGGCCCAGGTCCTTGTCATCTCTGTGCCTGTCCCAATGGGTAGTGATACCTCCATACATTATAGTGAGGCACACTGCACCTGAATTCACAAACTATTTATTTGGGATATATTGGTGTGGAATTCATTTATTGCTTGCACGTCTACCATGTTGAACGACCCCTAAAGCTTATGTGTGAGGAGGTATTTTTCAAAATCTCATTTTTGCACAAGTATTACTATTAACTAGAGCCTAGATCAGCTTACCTTTTTACTATTTTTAGGCCACCCTTCAGAGTTACTTCAGGCTTTTCAGTTTCAGGCCAAAATAGTTTGGAGGTGGCTAGCGCTGCTGGTGCCGACATGACAGAAGCAGTCAGTAGGTGGGAGGCAGAAACCTAGAATTCCAGGTGACAGAAAGTATGCTGTGATAACCACATCATGCACAAATATGGAAAAAAGCAATTAAAATTGTGAGATGCTTGGATGATTTTTCTACAGGGGTTCATTAAAAAGTTCACATTGCTTATACAGAAAATAAGAGAATGAGCAACTGGAGAAAAGAGGAAGCCAACTGGAAACAGGAAAAGTCTAAATAGTGAAAAGTATGGAGTAATCTTTCCAAGAGCCAAACTGCTTCACTCCTCTCTAGTGGCAAGCCAGAAGACAAGAGAAACCAGAAAAAGCCATGTCTTTAGTGCAGCTGGGCATAACAATGGCAGAGCAGGTGAGAGACAGCCTTACAGTTCAGAGCACCCCCTGTATGCCTTGCAGTGGGAGAAAATTGCGTTTGTCCCTTGAAACTGTGTTTAAAAGGAATCTACATGGCCTGACATAAACCTTCAACCTTGATTTCTGGCTTTGTGTTGCCAGTCTCTTAGCAGACAAGATGTTTACTACCTGTGTTTGTACAGATCACTAGAATCTCAGTTGCAAGTCAACTCTTTAGGCTCATATATCTAGCAACAGTTCCTGAAGGACTTTTATCTATATCACTGCCACAGAAGTGGGCAGGTTGATCAGTTAGTCTATTCCTCATGTTAGTTCATCTGACTGTAGGAAACTCTACAAATCAGTCATTCCCTTGCAGCTATGGCAGAAAGTCTATTACTTAGGTAGCTGTTTTTGCTACTTAACAGTATCTTCAAGATCAGATCTTGGTATCCTTTTTACTGTCAGAAGACAGGGGATTTTTGTGGTTAATTCCACCAGAAAAAAAAAAAAAAGAGAAACATGGGAATGACTCAGAGACACTTCCAAAGCATTTTATCTGGGCTTCTATACTTATATGATTTCAGACAAACAGTATATTCTCCAGTTCTCTTTCCCTCTCTTACCCCAAAAGAAATATATGCTCCCAAGACACTTCCAGCAATAGTTGCGAATCCTGCTGTCATGATTGTGTGCAGTTCAGATTTGGTGAGGTATGGTAAGTAGGGCCGTACCATGAGAGGAGACTCTGTCTGGAATTGAAAAACAAGTACCAAATTAAGAACTTCCTAATAAACCCTTAGAGATTTCTTTTACTAACAGGGCAGAAAATGAGTGGATGCATCACACTTTCTGAGGTGTCTTTGACTAATTAATCTTAGTGCTAATGAGTGCTCTGAATATTAATAGGTTGGGGTTTTTTTAGCCCAAGAAGGAAAACTGTACCAACATCTGTCTTGTTTGAAGACAATTATTGCTGATTTACCATCTCCCCCAAAGGCCCAACAAAATTGCCAAGAAATCCTAACCCAGTTCCCAACAAGTCAGGGATAGACACAGCTCTGAGCCGCAGGTAAGGCTGTGTGTCAAGTGAAACAAGCATACCAGCCACTATGGGCAGCTTAAAGCTCTCAGCCCCTCTGGCATGTGTGTGAGCACATGCAGAGGTACTAGTCTAAACCTTGAAGCACTATGATACAGTGGGGCACCACTGCTACAGAACTGATATGCTAATGTCACTTTTGGGCTCAGATGCTACTTGGTGATCTTCCATGTTGCTTTGATGCCTGGGACAGACACTGCTGCAGTGTGGGTTTAATGGATTTCCCATTAAAACGATCTGTTACAACTCTGTCCCATGTTTCTTTGTCTAAGACTTGCACAGCCAGCCCTGTATCTTAGTTTTCTGCACTCTCTATCCTGTTCTCGCCTGCCTCATGTGCCCTGTTTTCATCGTGCTTGCCTTTTCAGTTGAAAAAACACCTGAAGCTGTTATTTCTTCATAGCCGTAGAGTACCTGGTAGTGATTTTAAGAAAGGTCTATCACATACATTTACACCTTACTTTCCATTGAGAAAACATATGGTTCACAAAACCCACCCCACTGTGCATCACTGCTTATATATGAATGTACTGGAATACTGGAAATCAACCACCAGTCTCACTGTACTGGAGTCCTAGCTTCATATGAAATGATTTTTTTTTTATACACAGATGATTGCTGAACAGCAATTTTTCATAATGTTCAGCAATCCTGTGCTAGCATATTTTTCCATAGTCCAACTCACCTGTCCTACAAATATGTTACCCGCAGCTACCAGAGACTCAACAGGAGTTGTCACCATTAAAATCTGCATTACCCAACCAACCTAAAATGATTAAAAAAGAAAAAAAATCATGTCAATGTAAGAGTTCTGAGACACCTTACAATATTTCCTGAGTTAATGATTTCAGCTTCAAAATATGGCACATTCATTTAATAGTAGCATGTTGAAATATGCCAAAGGAGGAATAATTTAGCAGAATTGAGAGTACCTCAGGCTCCTTCTGGGCACTAAATTGTTAAACTAAATTAAACAAAGCAGATCTTTTGATGTGTCCTTAATACTTATGTATCTGTCCAAAGGGATTTGGATCATATGAAGGGAAAAAAATGTGAAATATAGATTAAGGCTAAAAATGTCTTGTAGAAATTTTAGCATGCTATTTCAGCTCGGTGAGATTTGTGGTACTTAAATAACAATCTTGTGCATGAGAAGGACAATGGACTTTTTAAGGGTATGTTCAAATAAGGTTTAACTACCACCATGCAGGAATAACTTTTCCCTCATACAAGTTCATTGGGCGGATACGGTAGAAAGTGGAATTTCTGTGGAAGTGTTTTTAGCTTAGTGGACCCTAGCACTGGACCTAGGACCTGACAGAAATGAGGACTTGGAGCATGAGGTGAGGAACCACCCTCTGATCTTATTCTGGGGACCTGTGATATGAAAGTATATGCAATTGCTACTGTAGTCCTTAGTAGAAAGCAGAAATCCATCATCCGTGATTTAACCTCCCTCCTGCATTTTGGGAACTGGGAAAAAGGCAGGCACATGTCATCAGAGGTATCCTAAGCTAGCCAGGCAAATCTAACAATAACTATGACTTTCCTGGGGGAGGAAAGCTTGCTATGTGGTGCCAGTTAGGATTTTGTAACATTTGGAACTATTTCCAGGTTAAAAGCAAACAACTGCTTTTCATATGTTGACACCAGAGCAGGTTGGTCAGGGCTAATGCTACAGTTCAGCTGCATGTGTTCAAGAAAGGTCCTGTACTAGGCAAAGGAGTACCTACTGGCAAAAAAATCATACCTTTCCAACGACCCACTGCATGAATCCAATGTGATAAAGCATAGACATTACGGTGCTGAAGAAAACCACAATTGGCAGGACCTGAATTGGAGACACAAAATCATTTCGCACTTGAGTGTTTTTTTCTTTTCTTGATTCTGTGGGCCATTTAATTTTTGAAAAAGAGGCTCATGTTTTTGGAGATACACTTAAAGGTAATGAAAACTCATCACTAAGTTTAGACTTATGCTGTAAAATTCTTAACCTTCTAGACTTGTTGGTGTTTGTGCTGGAATTAACAATTTTTAATGTATCTACATATTTTTCTAACAGGATTACAAAAGTTTTGAAACTGCCTGGCTTAACATAATATGCATTAGTTTATAGACAAGCCATGTTTAAGTCAGGTCAAACACTTACTGAGGAATGGCATCTACAAAGACTTGGATATGTACATGTGTACTTCGAAAACCATGAACAGAAATATATACAATGGGACTGTGGTGTAGAATTCAGAGCTCAACTTCTCTATTTCTGTGTTTAAGAAACACTGTTTAGACTGCTATATAAGCAGAAGTTGAAGATTTTGATTGGGATTGTAGCTGACTTGATTTCACAGAATCAAGAGCAGCTTCCTTAGAAAGCCCATACCGTGTGGCTGCCTTTTAATAACACACTATAGTAAAATCTTATTTTATTCTGTGCTATTTATAGTGCTGATTATAATACTAACGTGGAGCATTTAAGTGCTCTGTAACTATATTCAGACTCAGATTCTGCTTAAAAACAAATCCACGGGTATATATTTATTAAGTACAAGAAGTGAATATAAGTCTCTTTCAGTGGAGACTAAAGGAAAAATGTTTTCCTTAAGCATACAATTTAAAAGAATTGCATGAATGCCTAACTCATTGTCTGATGGATTATTAGATGTGTTGCTTCTTCATCCCGAGTAAAATTAATATCACTTGATTCTCAAGTATATTAAATACACAGGATCTCAGCATTTCTATGCTAGTATACAACAGGAAGAAAAATCCCCCCAAAAGGTTTAAAATTAGGCACACGGATTAGCTACAGTTAAAATAGTACCACTAACACCAGCGGCACTAGCTATTATGTGTGATCAACTGAGGTCATAATGCATCATAAATAAAAGCAAGGAATAGAATGAAAAAGAACAAAACACTTTGCTAGTTCAGACCTTTTCAGTAAATAGAAGCTGTTCCTTTCTAGAAGAGAGTTAGTCCTAGCAGCAATTTTCAGAAAGGTTTGGAAACTCAATTCATGTGATCAGAATCTTTCACTGAAAGGAGAGAGTGCAATTCACAGATATGGTTGTGGTCTTCAAGTTAATATGAGGCTGCTTTCTCTAGTTTGATTCTCTGATTCTTTTGGCCACACTCTCGGGTGGTTTGCCATGCAGTGACAGCAGAAAGTTCCTCTAAGAAAATAAGTTCTTTAATTGCTATTTTTTATAAACTGGCTTATTTCATATTTATTTTCAGTTCTGCAATATTGACCTTACCACAGAGCTACTTGATGGATCATGGTTATTGCCTATGCTACATGCAGGGCAGTGAGTTCAAATTGCTGGCTGCTCACAACTCCTTTTCCATTTGTGGCTTGATGTTCAGCTTTTTCCTTATGTTCCTTTAAAGCAGGATTTGCTATTGATGTTTAAGGAACATCCTAGTTTCAGACACTCCTAAAGCAAAGCTTTTCTCAGGAAGCTATAATCCTCCTGGCATAGAAAGGAAGCTACTGATACAACAGAAGTCTAATTCCTTGCTTGCTCGAAGCAGACAAGATGGCTTAGTACTAAGGGGTTTTTTCCAACTGCTTAAGTACTTGGGTGGGCTAAAGTCAAGAGAAATTTTTGTGTTAACTCATGCAGTCAGTAGTGGAGCTAAAATAGTATTGCTGTTAATTTTAAGTGTGTATTTTTACAGGAGAACAAAGCATATTAGCTTGTTTATGTGGGTAAATGCTAGAACTCTGAAACTCTGCATCTGCATACACAAATATGCATTTAAAATAACACAGGTTATGCATTCAAATGCATGTATTTATGACTAATTAGTGCTTCCAAGGCAATGCGCTCAAAGGCTGGTGTGGGACCAGTGGGTGCACACAACTGATGTGCTGGCTCTGGTAACTGTGTCCACCTACGTTAGGAGGACACTGCTAAGGGTCCAGTATGGGTACGGCCGGGCTCTGAAGTTTTCTCTAAAGACATACCCTAACACTCGCTACTCTCTCTCAAGAGCTAAGCTGAGATTGAGACATTTCTCTTCTGGAGGGAGCTTTGAAATATTTTGGGGCAAGAATTGGACAGATTAGTGCTACAGGCAAACATCATAAATTATCAGAAAGACACAAAAAAGCACTTTTGACCATCTTATTCTCTGAATAAATGAGAACTGTTTCAAGAGAGAATAGGCTGGCTGTCACTCACTGATGTTGGGAGAGAGAAATCTCTGCGGGAGGAGCAGATGGAGTATGTTTTGGTGTTTCTGTGTGCTTCTCTATCACTCTGTTTACCATATATAGTCTGACAGCAAAACATATGCAGCTCTGAAAATCAACTTATGGCGTTTATTTTCTTGTTTTTCAGTATGAAAATAACGTCCTTGTACTTGTTATACTCTTCTAAAAATTACATGTCTTTTGCTGGCTTATCCCATAGAATACCACTGATGGACATACACAGAAGCAAACTTTTGTGAGTGTCTGGTCCCTAGTTATGGCTTTAGTCAGCAAAGGATTCTGCATCACCAGTGGGCCATTAAAAAATCATCTTGAAAAAGTAATATTCATAAGGCATTCTGGAAAAACATAGGAAAAATAACATTGTGGGTGGGAATTAAACCATTTCACCCCCAGAATATGTAATTGTGCAAGCAAATTGTCATTTGAGTGCTCAATACAGTGAAGGTGAGAGGAGACTGGAAAGTGAAACAAAAAGTATAAAAATACTGCAATTAAAATATAACTTATATTTCTTGTTGAAATGCTTTGTTGTTTTCCCCTCTAAGATGTTCTGGCTATTTTCAGTAACAGCATATTTTATAGGTATCATCTTCTTTCTTACGTAGCAGCAGACCTAAGCGTCAAGAACATCCAGATTGGAATATCATCTCCAGGTAAAAAAAAAAGAAGATAAAAGGTGTGTAGGCCCATGGTTGGGTGCCTGAAACACCAGATAGAAGAATGGTCTCTAAGAAAGTCCTGATACATTTCTCATGGTTGGGTGGGGTTTTTTTTTTTACTTTCTGTGTTCTTGATTCCAGCCTAAGCATGTATTGTGGCATGGGCTACATGTAGGAGCAAAATCTGACAGGATGCAGGTGTGGATTAGAGAGCACAGAGCACTTAAGCTGTGTTCCAGCAGTTTCCTAAGGGAAAACTGGGAAATGTCCCTGGAATCTTACTAATGTAATAATAATGTCATGTAATTCTTCTTCCTTGTGCAGGGACAGCTTCTACCTCTTATACCTAGATAAGTATACACCTAGGATTTCCACTTCTATAGGGGTAATATCTGTGAGATGGTGGTCTGCACAGCACTGCAGGACAGAAGAGTACCTTTACTTGTGGAGAGGTGGAGAAGATAGGCTGGAGGAAATATTTCTTTTGGTGACCATGAAGAAGCCTTTTAACCTATTCTGTGTAGAAACATACCCAAAAGTCCCATGATAATAGACTTCAGTGTAAATGAGAGGTTCTATGTGAAGTTACCAAATTTTCTATTCAGAGTGTAACACAGTAAAGAATAGTTTACTTCTTAGTTGATTTCTCTGGTGACTGCACTGGTATCAAAAGACATGTGATGAATCTATTTCCCAGCCATACTGTTCCTTTTTCTGTTGTCAATCTGCCACATACAGTATACTTAAGACCTGTCTTACCTTAAAAGCAAAGAAATGATCTGTATAAGTCGCACCAAATACAAACTTAGCACCTGCGTCAGAGTACTCCAGGAAAGTCTAGGGACAGAAAGCAAAGAAAGTTAGCCATAAGCTCTGTGATACTGCCCCAAAACGAAACAAATATTGCTAGTTGTCTTGCAGAGAGCTGGTGATGTCCAAGGACCTTGTGCTGTGCTTTATATGGGTCCAGGCTTCACTGGCTGTGTCTGGCTGAACTGAGGGTCTTTGCTCTGCTCTGCTCTGCCAAGACCATAGGCTGCTTCAGAGTATGTAGATAACCAGCAAGGGCGTAGGGTACATTTTCCTGCGGTACCCAACAAGGTAAAGGCTGAAAACTATACTAAAAGAAGATTTATTTTTTTAAAGCCTGGTACTGTGGTGCATTTCTATACTCCCTCTCGTGCAAATAAGTGCAATTAAAGATACAGTTTAAATGGAGCTTTACTGGCTGAAGTGATTAGTTTTGAAGAGTAGCCAAAAGCTAATCTAAAAAAAAAAAAAACCTTCCACCTTTTAATTCTGATATGGCAGAGAAATTTTATTCTCCTGATGCCAACATACGCAATTAATGATACAGTTTAAAATGGAGATATAGCTAATGAGTTATGAGAGGAGTGACCATAAACCATATGGAGCTAACGAAAGGGGGCACCAGACCTACTTCAGGCGAGACAGAACCCGGTGACAAAACCCAGGTGACTCCCACTGCTGGCAGATTAGCAGCAGCAGAAGTTAGATCTGTGCCTTAGCTCCTGCGCAGAGACGGTACGGTACGTTCTGCACTGTCCTGTTTTAAATGTACTCAATTATCTCTACTGTGAAGGACAGCTGTGTGAATAGTAACCCTGGGGTGAAAAGTCTGAATGTCACTCAGTGGGTACTTGTTGATCTACCTTTTGTATTTGTCTTATCTACTAACTTCCAGTAATGGACTTCTGAAAAAACCTTTGTGTCTGAAGACTGCCTACAGGGGCACCTATGGATGAACCCCATCCCCTCTCTAGAGATCCTTTGCTGCTTGCAAGGAGCTGGTTTTCCAGCTCCAGGCTGTGGACTTTGCCACCTGTAGAACAGAATCATAGAATCATTTAGGTTGGAAAGGACCTTTAAGGTCATTCAGTCAATAATGTAAAATTATTGAAACTTGGGGCAGTTATAATTTCAGTCCAAAGATGGCAAAGCCATTGAGAAATAGGGTCACTCTGGTCATTACTCATCAGCCTGTCCTATATGGTCTTGTATTAACTGGACAAAAAGAAATGAGAAGATTGAATTCAGGTAGTGAATTACCTTTCGGAGAACCCAGTTTTTCTCAAGAGGGGAAAACATCCACGGCAAACAGACCCTTGAACTGCCTGGCTGTCTAAAGACAGAAAATGATATAAAAAAATAAAATTTTTGCCCAGTAGCTTACCTGAATCTGATTGCCTAGCCAGTTAAACATATCAAACCCCACTTCTGTCCTCAGAATAAGAAGCCCAAGTATAAGTTGTATTCCTATTCCTGAAAATACTGTTCTCCAAGCAACCTAGATGAATAGAAAAATAAAAATAAAGAAACCACTTGTTATTTAAATGAATAATAGTTTGCTTTAGATGTTTGTTAAAATAACGTACGGGGATTGTCTGATTATACTGCAGGATAGAAGCAGCTGCCATAACAGGTTGTAGGGGACTTGGAGCGTGAGTCACCCCTCCTAGCTTCTGAGCTCTGCAATGTGGGTGTCTCTGAGCGAGCTGCTGAAAGCCTGGCTAGGTGAGTACAGACATGCCTGTTTCGGCATCACAGACTGCATGTAACCAAGTAGTAGGAAAAGGAGAGACAGTTCTTCCTATGCTACAGTTGGAATAGACATACATGAGGGCAGCAGGCAAGATTTTATTTTTTTTTTAAACTGAAACGGAAACAAAAGAAAAGCAACTGAGCATCAGATTCTTCACATATCTGGACTGGGAATAAGGACACTTGCTACAGTTTTTTCTGTGTGGTTGGGTAACTTCAACTCCATTTCTGTGTGCCAGCTTTAAAGAGCTTTGTTACTTGAGAACTATTCAGAGTTATTGTGATCCATATGACATAAGGCAGTTGTAGGAAAAACTGTGGCTGCCTGTGACCAGTCCCTCTTCACTACACTGCAGATTTCTGTTCTGCTGCCTCAGAAAACATCTTTGTTTTGTGAAAATTGAATCTGATTATTTACAAAGCAAAGAGCTGAGATGGCACTCTCTAATTTATTCAGATGATATTTGAATAACACAAGCCAATTAGGTGTAATGAGGACCCATGGGAGAGCACAAAGCATTTGGAGTACATGAGTTTTCACCTCAGTTGGAGACAGCAGTTGCAAAAGATGGGGAGTGGAAGGTCCATTAGTCCCTGCTGAGGGAATTTTTTTCTGTTAAAAAACTCTCAGCACTAATGCAGGAGTGTTGAAAAAATGTTGGTGAAACTTGGTTACCTGGACAATGGATTAATATATGACTGATGAAAGCATGCGCTATATGCTAGGCAGGCATACAATGGTAAAAGTTGAGGCGGGAGTTATGATGGCTGAAGTAACCCTTTTGTAATATCACAGCACTACAGAGTGGACATCTCAGCTGGAAAATTAAAATAAATGGCATTAATTAGCCCATGGGAGTGGGTTAGCGAAAAGTGAGGACCTCAGTTTGTCCTCACTGGCAGCATTTGCAGTGAGAATAAAATTTGTGAGAGATTAAAAGATACATGAGGGCAGTACATCTCCAGTTACATGCACTTTGTGTTGATGTGATGACAGTGTCTTCAAATAACTGCCTGTGATGTCCTCAGGACTGCATCAAGCCTCCTGTTGGTGGAAAGCATGGTGCAGGCCTGCCCCGGCTTGTGCCGATGCTCCAGGAGCAAATGTGTTCCAATCTGCATCAGGGCTGGAACAAAGGAAGAGCAGCTGCCTCCCAGAATAGTGACAGCCAGATGCAGGTATCATTCCACACATGCTCCACAGGATGTCAGAGCAAAATGGCTTTCCTCAGAAATGAAATACATCTCTGGGTTTTGGAAAGCCTAGTTTTCGATGCTCGTGGGGTTTCTGTTACTCTTACTGAACTTGGTGCTAGGGTAGGGGAATAGCTTTTGAGACATTGAACAAAAAACACACAGAAGATCCAAAGTGGACTAAATACTCACTTTGGTTGGATATTTGGAAAAGATAAACATCAGCAGAACATACAACACAAGCCCACAAAAGGAGATCAGATGTTGGGATCCCTGTTTTGCTGTGTCAAAGATGAGCCAGCAGATGATAGTTATAACAAGAGCTGCATACAACACCCTAGGACAAAACAAAAGTATCAGGTATGACGTCCTGAAGAAGACCAGATATTCCTTCCCCTCCCCATAACATTTACATCTCTGTGTGTAAATGAACTCTCTGAGCAATGCATTAAGCTGAAATGTGTAGCTGTACACAAGCAGGAACCTGCCTTTGCTGAAGCAATTCTGACAACAACATCTTTGGTGGCATACAGAAGAAATGTCCACCAATCATGTCCCCAGAGCCAGAGTATAAGGGAAAGCCAGTAAAGCATGAGTGAGTCTTGTTGCAGTGTTATTTCTATTAAGTGAAGTGTGAGAAGAGCTGTTCTTTCTCACTCCATCCTCCTTTTCCTTTCCCATCTTCTTTTTTGAATCTTTTCTTAGCTCTGGGCAAGACAGCCTGAGGTTTTTATGAATTGTGTTGTGCTGTTTAACTGGTGGGCCTATGAAACACACACTGCCAAGAAGCAGGTTACAAACTGTTTACTCCTTTATAACCAGCTGTAGTCTGTTTAGAAAAATAACTTTTAATCACAACAATTTTAACTATCTCAGAAACAATGACAAGAGCCATGTGTATGTCTGTGTTTGGTGTTTCTATGGTCTCTACTATCACAGAACCATGTTCAGCTTGCATATTAAAGGTAATTCTAACAACAGCAGCCTGAGAGGCAAGGAAATAATCATCCCACATGCACAGTGGAAAACTAAACATAGTCCCAGTTCTTTGACGTTATTTGTGTCTAACAGTCATTCAGCTTCCACTGATTTCAGTGGTACCAAGATACCTAAATTCTGGGTTTAGACCTGGATCAAAAATATTGCAGGCCAGCTGCAGAAAACAGCTTGGGCATTGCAGTGCTGAGTAACGCTGTCTGCACTTGAGAGACTTCCAGTCTCTTGGAGGAACCTGTGCCCTACACTTAAGCACTTAATCTGTGATACATACAGTTTAAGGATTGCAGCCCAAGCAATACAGCACTCACTGCCCTGGCTTGTTTCATCAGCTCATCTGGGCTTTTCTGGTTTGTTTGCTCTTTCCCCCAAAGGCTGCCAGATCATTTAATGGAGGTGCCTTTGTGTGACTGCTCTTTAATGTGGCTCCTGAGCAGAATGACCACAACCTTTACAGCACCTTTCTTAGAAATTCCTGCTCCTGTGGCAAAACTAATTTAAAATCTTAAGAATAAGTTGAGATATTTTCCTGAACCCCGGATGACTCCTCCTTAGACCTTCTTCTTTCTCAGCTAGGAGGTGAGATGGCTAAGGTAAAAGGCAGCTGGCCAATTTCCTTTTCCTTTCTAATGAGATTTCATTTGGGCTTTTTCTTTGGTCTATGAGCCTCCTTTGGATCCCCATTTTCCTAGGAATAACTTAAATATTCCTGGTAACTACTAAGAATACTTGTAATATTGTAATAAGTATCTAGCAGATCTAATTATCTACCATTTATCTATCAGATGAATGTCTACTATGCAAAATAAGGTTGTATGACCTTATTATGACACCAAATGTGGCTGGCATGTTTTGATTCCCAAAATTCAAGTAAAAATTGCTATGGGTGTACATGAATAAGTAGTGTCTAGACAACACACTTCAGTCTTTAGCAGTTTGCATACATTAGTGTTAAGGTTTTTATGAATCTCATGGCTTTCTGAAAAATTGACAGTGAGACACTTTCTGGCTTGCAGTATGAATGCAGAAAACTACGACACACCTGAACCCTGCAGACATACTCTCTTGTCAGCAGAAACTTGTCCTGTCTCAATTTGAGGAATTTTTTTTTGCACTGTCAAGATTTTTGATACTTAGCTACTATATTGCAATCTTAAAGGTGTGTCTGGCACATATAAACTGGAAAATATTGAATTATTCTGTATGTATTCTTTGATTTTACTGCAATTTGTATGATTGATCCATCTCCCTGTGCTCATGGGGGTATAAGCTGAAATAAAACTACAGGGATAAATTAACTGATGCTTTGTCCTTCTGCATAATAGGAAGAAATACATACTTACCATTTAATCCAAACCCAGTGTTCCTCCAGGTATCTTCTTCCAGGGGAAAATAATGCAGCAATTCTGTCTTCATACTTAGCTATTAAAAAATCCCAGCAGAGGAAGAAGATGGCTAGGAGAGTGATGATAAAGAGTGGGAAGGCTCTCTGAAAATTCAAGCTGCAGGCTATGATAAGTACTATCAAGTACGCTGTCACAGAAACAAGAATATATATGTCAGTTAGGTTAGTCTTTTTAAAAACAGTCAAATCTTAAATGTGAAGGATATGGTTAAAGTCAGAACTCTTTTTCTTTAAAGTGTTTTTCTGACTTGGCCTAAATACTGAAAAATTTTGCTTTCATAGTGTTGTTACTTATGATATGCTGACTGATATGAAAGGTGGCTTTCATCCTGTCAAAGCAAGTTACATGCTTTGACTGAGCCACGTTCATATCAAACATGTTAAACAATTGAGAAAATTAAACACATCTACAGAACTGCTTTTTCCTGTGTAAAAACCATGAACCATGGGTCTTGTTCCTTCTTTCACAGGAGAATGAGTTTATCCAATAAAACCAGAAGAAACACTTAGAAACATTTGTCAATTGCCTGATTTGATGGCCCTCTCAAATAATTAGGAAGCTTAGAAGTAGCTTATTTTGAGAAGTAGCTTATTTGGTAAAATAGCTATGAAATGATTTGTCATTTGACAGGTTCATTGCTAACACATTCTGGCCAATGAACCATTCGTTCTTGTAAATAATAATCTGATTTTGTCTATGTCGAATAAGGAAGAAGAATTACTGTTTTGTGTAAGTCAAGTTGTTCTATATGGAATTAATGTGTAAGACCCTGACATACCCTGAGAACTCAGTTGCTTTCTTGAGCCAGGATATGTCTGTTCTATGACAAAGGAAGACAAGCAGATGCCAGGAAGGCAGGATATTCATCACCCAATTGGCCCTTTTATAACCATTTTATGGTATGCTGATGCCTATCAGCAACCTGGCTACGATATACCTGGCTGTTGTACTGACGCATGCTGTGATGACTTCAGCAAAGGCAAGGTCTTGCAGAGCTGGACCAAGAACTCCTGAGGTAATAGGAGACAGGAGGGTAGCTGCCATAAAACGCCTTGGGGGATCTGTGGAGGATCGCCTAAGAAGGGCCACATGGCCAGCAGACCGACTGAAGTGTCTCTACACCAATGCACGCAGCACGGCAATAAACAGGAGGAGTTGGAAGCTATCCTGATACAGAAAAGCTATGACATAGTAGCAATTACGGAAACTTGGTGGGATGAATCCTATGACTGGAGTGCGGGCATTGATGGCTACAAGCTGTTCAGAAGGGCCAGGAGAGGGAGGAAGGGTGGAGGTGTTGCCCTCTATGTAACGAATTGGCTAGAGTGTGAAGAGTTGTTGTTAAAGAATATCCATGAGCATGTCCAAAGCTTATGGGTAGGAATTAGGGATCAGGACAACAAAGGGAGCCTTGTGGTAGGAGTCTACTACAGGCCTCCTGACCAGGAGGAGCCCGTCAATGATGCCTTCTTACTTTAGCGTGAAGAAGCATCGCAATCACTGGCTCTCATCCTGCTGGGGGATTTTAACCACCTTGACATCTGTTGGAAAAGCAACACAGCTGACCACAGGCAATCCAGGAAGCTGCTAGAGTGCCTAGATGACAACTTCTTGAGACAAGAAATTAACAGCCCTACTCGAGGAGATGCATTGTTGGACCTGTTGGTCACAAATGCAAGCGATATCGTCAGGGATGTCAAAGCTGAAGGCAGCCTGGGCTGCAGTGATCATGCCCTAGTGCAGTTCACTGTCCTAAGAATTTGAAGCCCACAAGAAGCACAGTTAGGACTCTAAATTTTAAGAAAGCAAACTTCCAACTCTTCAAGGAGTTAGCAAATCGGACCCCATGGGAAATGGCCCTCAGGGACAAAGGAGCAGAACAAAGCTGGCCGATCTTTAAGGATGCCTTCTGTAGTGCACAAAAGAACTCAATCCCTACATGTAGGAAATTGGGCAAGGAGGGCAAGAGACCACCATGGTTGAGCTGTGACTTGCTGGTCAAACTAAAGGGCAAGATGCAGCTACACAGAAAATGGGAAAAGGGACAGGCATCCCAGGAAGACTATAGGAATATTGCCCGGCTGTGTAGGGATGAGGTCAGGAAGACCAAGGCACACCTAGAACTGAATTTGGTAAGGGATGTTAAAAAAAACAAGAAAGGTTTCTACAGGTACATTAACCTGAAAAGGAAGGTTAAAGAAAATGTACCCTCCCAGATGAGCAACAGTGGGGAACTTGTATCAACGGATGAAGAGAAGGCAGAAGTACTCAACAACTTTTTTGCCTCAGTCTTCACTGGCAACCCCTTTCCTCCTAGCTCCCATGGCGACGGCCCACAAGTTGGTGACCAAGGTGACAAAGTCCCTCCCACTGCAAGTGAAGACATAGTATGCGATTAACAGAGGAACCTGAAGATATATGTGTCCATGGGACCTGATGAAACACACCCCAGAGTCCTGAAGGCACTGGCTGATGTAGTTGCCAAGCCACCTTCCATGATATCTGAAAAGTCTGGCAGTCAGGTGAAGTCCCTGCAGACTGGAAGAAAGGAAACATCACACCCATTTTTAAAAGGGTAGAAAGGAGGACCCTGGGAACTACTGAACTGTCAGCCTCACCTCTGTGCCTGAGAAGATCATGGAACAGATCCTCCTAGATGCCATGCTTGGGCACATGGAAATGATTCAAGATAGCCAGCATGGCTTTACTAGGGGCAGGTCCTGCTTGATTAACTTAATGGCCTTCTATGATGGAGTGACTATGGCAGTAGATAAGGGACAACCTATGGATATGATCTATCTGGACTTCAGTAAGGCCTTTGACACGGTCCCTCACAACATCCTGCTTGCCAAATTGGAGGGATATGGATTTGATGGGTGCACTGTTTAGTGGATAAGGAATTGGCTGGATGGTCACATTCACAGGGTGGTACCCCATGGCTTGAAGTCCAGCAGTGACAAGTGGCGTCCCTCAGGGGTCCGTGCTGGGACCAGTACTGTTTAACATTTTTATCAATGACCTAGACAGAGGGATTGTGAGCACCATCAGCAATTTTGCGGATGACATCAAACTGTTAATGGCCTTCTATGATGGAGTGACTATGGCAGTAGATAAGGGACAACCTATGGATATGATCTATCTGGACTTCAGTAAGGCCTTTGACACGGTCCCTCACAACATCCTGCTTGCCAAATTGGAGGGATATGGATTTGATGGGTGCACTGTTTAGTGGATAAGGAATTGGCTGGATGGTCACATTCACAGGGTGGTACCCCATGGCTTGAAGTCCAGCAGTGACAAGTGGCGTCCCTCAGGGGTCCGTGCTGGGACCAGTACTGTTTAACATTTTTATCAATGACCTAGACAGAGGGATTGTGAGCACCATCAGCAATTTTGCGGATGACATCAAACTGTGTGGTGTTGTTGATACACCAGAGGGATGTGATGTCATTCAGAAGGACCTGGACAGGCTGGAGAGGTGGGCCCAGGTGAACCTCCCGAGGTTCAACAAAAGCAAGTGCAGGGTTCTGCACCTGGGCTGGAACAATCCTCGGTATCAATACAGACTAGGGGGTGAGGTATTGGAAAGCAGCCCTGAGGAAAGGGACTTGGGGATGCTGATGAATGAGAAGCTGGACATGAGCAGGCAGTGTGCACTTGCAGCCTAGAAGGCCAATTGCATCCTGGGATGCATCAAAAAAAGTGCTGCTAGCAGATCCAGAGAGATGATTCTGCCACTAGACAGAGGGATTGTGAGCACCATCAGCAATTTTGCGGATGACATCAAACTGTGTGGTGTTGTTGATACACCAGAGGGATGTGATGTCATTCAGAAGGACCTGGACAGGCTGGAGAGGTGGGCCCAGGTGAACCTCCCGAGGTTCAACAAAAGCAAGTGCAGGGTTCTGCACCTGGGCTGGAACAATCCTCGGTATCAATACAGACTAGGGGGTGAGGTATTGGAAAGCAGCCCTGAGGAAAGGGACTTGGGGATGCTGATGAATGAGAAGCTGGACATGAGCAGGCAGTGTGCACTTGCAGCCTAGAAGGCCAATTGCATCCTGGGATGCATCAAAAAAAGTGCTGCTAGCAGATCCAGAGAGATGATTCTGCCACTTTGCTCTGGTGAGACCTCACCTGGACTACTGTGTGCAGGTCTGGAGCCCTCAATATAGGAAGGACATGGACTGATAGAGCGGGTCCAGAGGAGGGCCACTAAAATGATCAGGGGTTTGGAGCACCTCTGCTACGAGGACAGGCTGAGGGAGCTGGGGTTGTTCAGCCTGGAGAAGAGGAGGTTCCGGGGAGACCTAATAGCGGCCTTCCAGTGCCTGAGGGGGACCTACAGGAAGGCTGGGGAGAGCCTGTTTAAAAAAGGCCTGCAGTGACAGGACGAGGGGCAATGGCTTTAAGTTGGGAAAGGGCAAATTTAGATTGGATATTAGGAAAAAGTGAGGGTGGTGGAGCACTGGAACAGGTTGCCCAGGGAGGTAATTGAGGCCCCTTCCCTGGAGATATTCAAGGCGAGGCTTGACAAGGCCCTGGGCAACCTGGTCTAGTTGGGGGTGTCCCTGCTGACTGTGGGGAGGTCGGACTAGATGACCTTTGGAGGTCCCTTCCGGCCTGGGCAATTCTATGATTATATGATTCTATACTGTACCTGTTATTGAAATCCCGTAGATCACATAGTGAAATGTGGTCTTATGTTTCTTGTAAAAGTCACAAGCTTTATCATATTTCTGTTCGAAACGCCTAGGAAAATGCAAAAAACAAACAGATCAGAAACTTTAGCTGTAAATAAAAAAGAAAAGCAATTTGCACAGAAAAATCAGGTTACATTGATCAAAATTTCACCACTGGAGCATGCTACACTTGGTAAAGGTCAAATTTGGATCCCAAAGTGCCAAAGATCATGCCAACATCTGCAAAGCTTTGGCAGGGGAATGGAGGTGGGGAAACTTCTTTGCATTGATGCTGGACAAGCAAAAAAGAAAATCTGGCAGCTACCTAATGGGCCAATCCATCAGCAATCTAATGGACCAAAGTTAGCAGGCCAGTTCTGCTAGCCTCTGAAGCACACTTCCTCCACGAGGAGGTCTGTTAATGGGGTTAGTGCAAACCGGGTATGTAAAAGATTCAGTGCCCATTACTAGACCCACAGATTGTTAATACAGCCAGACCAGCATTGCTATGTGGAGGAGCAGTGTTGCTACAGTTGTGAAGGGCTAAGGCTGCATTTGTGTGTGCAAAATAACCAATGTCCATCTAAAAACTCATTACAGTGTGCACAGATGTTTTTGGCTATTCTGGATAAACTCCTGAAAGGAGGTTGCAAGGAGTAGGGTGTTGATTTCTTTTTCCAAGGAAGAAGCAATAGGACGAGAGGAAATGGCCTCAAGTTGCAGCAGGAGAGATTCAGATTGGGTTGTTAAGCATTGGAACAGGGAGGTGGTTGAGTCACCATACCTGGAGGTATTAAAAGACATGTAGATGTGGCGCTTAGGGATATGGTTTAGTGGTGGATTTGGCAATGTTAGGTTAATTATTGGGCTCAATGATCTTAAAGGTCTTCTCCAACATAAATAGTTGGAATCCTGTGGTTCTGGATTTTTATTGGTGCTATGATTTGAAAATTTCTTTTTTAATAACACTAACTTTTCATCTAAGACTTAACAGTTCATGGAAGCTACAGCAATTTGTTATATTTCAATGTCCTGTTTTAGTACCTGTTCTTCCAATTATTATATACTTCACATTTGTTCTTATCTCATTATCAGAGTGATTTCATTAGGGAGGTTGAAATGTAGGGAAACAGCAGTTAAGAGAGTTAAGTCAACATAGATTTCCAAAGTTAAGTGTGCTGGTGATGTGGATGTATTTCAGTTACAAAAGCTGTAGGTAAATAAACACCCTTGTATTGTGCAAGCTGAACAAGAAACCACAGCTATAGCTCTGTTTCTCTAAAGCAGTGCCTCACACCCTACAGTCTAAAACGGTGAAGTTATATTTAGAGATGCTACTGAACCTGACTGCACTTGTTTGGAAACTAGGTGCAGCTGAAGTCAGATGCACACCAAAATTCAGCATGAATACCCTTCTTTTCTGGACTAAAAAAAACAACCAGCCAACCAAAATCATTACTTTAAAAGAAATTGGAGAGAAACAAGGAGTACTAACTTAATTCATATCAGCATTGAGAACTGCAGAGCAGGAATATGCTCCTTCACAAGTACAAAGAGTAACAGGGTCTCTGAGAAATCTTGATTGTTTTTGATACTTCAGTTTTAATTCTGGGAATTTCTATTGCTTCACAAATCATAGTTGTTTGGGTTTTTTTTCCTTGTTAGAGCATTATGTTGTCTATCCAATATCAGGAGAGAGATTAGATACAACATGAAAAAAAAAGAAAAGAGAAATGAGAGAGAGAGGCACGAGTAAGCCAGAGTGACTTTATCAAATTTACAGTTCATCCATCAATCAGAAAAAAAAAAAAAAAAAAAAAATCTATTATCTCTTACTGCTTGTTTTGTGTCCTTTGGGACTTAAAAATGTTATTTTAAGATTACAATTCCTTGTAATCTCTTCTTTGCTCTAACATCTCTCTCTCCCTTGTTAATTTATTAATTTAGGTGATTATCACTTTGGTAGCAGGATATCTTAAATGTTTAGGCATATGTGTCATAAGTATGCAGCTCTGTTCTGAAAGGTGGAAGAAAAAAACATCTTCCTTATGAAATCTGAATAATTTGCTAAGGAAAAATTATTTTCTAAAAGCTGACCCTATAGGCTCAAAGTGCAGCATGTTGCTGGTGGCTTTTTCTTAACCAAAGATATTGAAAAGCAGGTATCGCTTAAGCACATTTAAAGGATAACTTTAATATAAAATATTTGTATATGCCAAAACTACTCTTGCTTGCATTTTCAACTTAGAAATCCATTTTCTGGTCTGCACGTACTCTACAAGTGAATGTTAACACCTTGTGCATGTGGTGAATCCTTGTTATTGACAGACTGATCTTTCAAAGGGGTTGTGTCTCAGTCCAAGGCTATTCAGTACTATCTGTTGAAAGAAATCGATGACGCATTCAAAATTAAGGCATGCTTTGTGAATGCCTCTTTTGAGCAGATACAAGGAAGGCATTAGATCACATTAGTGCCTGCTTCTAGGAACTAATTTACAAAAAAAAACCCAACTTGGTATAGATACCATTGCCCTTGTCAGATGCTCAACATAAAACCTAGACAAAATGCAAAACCGGAGAGCACAGAACAAGCTGTAGCCTGAATGTAATCAGAATAGAGCTAAGCTCCTCAGCTTCCAGCCTATGAGGAGCTTTCACTGCTTGAGGCCATCATATCTACTGCAGATGGAAGAACAAGGGGACCTCAGGAACAGAAAGCCCTGTGAGTTAAACCTTATCAATCCCTCAGCTCTCCATGGGAGTACAAATAAATAAGAATGAAATGAAGACCTACAGGCTTCATCTCTGCAGCAATTAAACCCATCCCTGTGCAGAGATGCCTCTTGTCCCAGTGACTCCTGTGTGCCCAGCCAGGTTTGGGAGACCCTGCTAACCTTGTACAGTCATTTGCATGCCAACACTTGCCTGTGCAATTGATTAGCTTAATTCTGCATAAAGCTGGATACCTGCCATTGGAGACTGGCAAACTTGGATGTTTGATCTACCAAATCTCAGCTTTTGTTTTTGCTAGACGAGGCTCTAAATGTTTTAAACAAGAAAGTGTTTCATGTTATGCACTGCTAAAGGCATGACAAATCTCCAAAGAGCAGAGAGGAGAAATGAGAGACTATTTAAATGATTTCTAAATAGTTTTGCTAGATTTTTGAAGCAATATTTTAATATGATAGCATCAGTAAACCTGATCCTATTAACGAGTCTTTTAAGATCTGTACGTACAACTTGAAAGCATAATTAAAATCTTCACTGCTACTGTATATAAGCGTACTAGTAGTACTAGTAGATAGTAGCAGATATATAGAAGATATACATAGATATATATAATAGCAGACATATATACACAAATATATCATTTGTACAGGCACGAGATCTTTCCAAGTAGTCCAATTTGAGTGTGACAAACTCCTATTTGTGATAAACAGTAAGTGAGTTGCTAGAATCAAGTGGTAGAAAGACAGGTTCAAAGCTGAAATGATATGCTGCACAGCAGAATGCAGCCATAGAAATCAGGGGGAAAAATACAGCATGATTTCTAGGAAGTTTTATATGAAGATTCAATATGAGAGAAAAATATAAAGACATTAAATATAATTTTAAGTATTGTGTCAATTTTTTTTTAATGTTTTATACAAGGTTTATAGTTTTTGCCAAAAAACTAATCCTCAAGTAAAATATAAATGTGTGTTTTCACTGTGCAGTCACTTGCCACCAATATTAACATGTGTAAAAATTCTGCTCCATCAAAATGGCTTTCTTTACAGCTATTCTATTATTTTGCACTGGGGTAAATAGCTATACAAACTAAAGGACAATAGTGAATTTTTAATTAGAACAAGAGATTACTGTTGAAGATCTCTCTTTAAAAAATGTTCTTTTGGAAATACTGGAAAGGTAGTTAATGTACAAAAAGAAAAATACTGCTTTATAGCAAGGCTTTAGAAGAATAATTCCATGATCACATACGTCAGTTGAAAGATATAATAATTTTAAATACAACATGTTTCTGTATTACCTAATTTGCTAAGCAAGACTAAGGTCTGTGCAGCATAGGGGTATGCCAGTGAAATTTAGAGCTGTTGCTCCAGAAGCATAAACATTGGCAGCTTATTGCTTAGGCCAGGACAAATCCAGTGGAAAACTTACTCATCCAAAAGACATTACCCTTTCAAGTGTGGTTGCTCATCATCTACTGAGTCACGTTTGTTTTCAGGCAGATGACTTGAGTCAGGTTTGTTTTCATGCACATCACTCTCAATATTGACGTGTTCTTCCTCCTGGAAAACAGATCGGGTGCCCAGGCTGTGAGAGGGGTGCATGCTTGTTAAGTAGGTGGAAAAAAACAGATCCCCACTTCCAGATGGCTGAAGCAGTCTCAAGACTTTGCCATCTGCGCTGAGTGCATGGCTCCAGCTCTCCTGTCTGCCACCAATGCTGCCACTGTATCAGGCAAACCCGGTGGTTAGACTGTGGCTGTGAACTTTCCCAAGCCATCCACATCATTTTGAAAGGGAAAATAAAAGGGGGTAGGGGGAAATACCAGTGTTACTTAGACTTGAAGAAGGCCCTGTACAGATTACTGTTGCATAGACTCTGAAAAGTGAGAGCTGCTGGGAGGGATGCTAGAGCTGCTAATTAGCCAGCTTCCCAAGCACCTCCTGTTGACCACCCCCTGTTTCTCTTGCTTCTCTCTTTGCAGAACTATAATATGATGGAAACTTTATGTATGGAGAATGGTTCAATTTTGGGGGGTGGGATGGGGTATTGTTTTAAAAATTCAACAAAGCCAATAAATTTATTCCTACAAATAGCTGCTACGAAAAATAAACATATGACAGTACTCTAAAGAGAGCTAGCATCTATGGGCTTTGTCACAGAAACTTGAAATTTGGCCAGGCAGCACACTGAATTTCACTGAATTTCACTGAATTTCACCTTCATCAGGAAAGCACCTTTTTGCTACCTGAATCCACATAAACCCAGTGGCGATGAAGCTTCCCAGCAACCGGTGGAACTGACCTCTGCCACGTTTGAGGGCCATCCAAGAGGCCCCGTGGAGCTGCACCCATGGGGGGCTGCCCTGCCCACCTCGGCCCTGTCCAGAGGGACAGCAGAAGACCCCCAGCCCCGGGAGTACGTACCTTCATGGTCATGGCAGGCCCCATGGTGGCAGTTGCTGGTGGCCGTTGTGTTCAACGGCAGCAGCAGCATAACCGCAGAAAGCCCAGGCACCATGCTGCAGCCTCCTTTTTTTAACCATACCAGGGCTGGGGGGGCCTGGCCTGCCCTCAGGCACCTGGCCAGGGGGAAGGCTGACAGTGTTTTTCTGAGCTGGTGGTCATATCCTACCCTCTTCAAGAGGAGACAGCCCGCCCTGCACAGCCACTTGGAGCAATGGCAGGCTGCAGGTGAGCTTTAATTTTCTTTTCTTGTCACTATTATTTGTGCTAACCGCTTCCTCCAAGCTGCTGTGTGAGGCAAGGCCCACCATGGGCCTCGCCCTGGCCCCGGCCTTCAATCCGGCTTGCTTGGTGCACCAGAAGTCCTGGGAAGCCCTTGGTTAGTTCCCAGTGAGAGACCTGAACCAGCTCAAAGCCAAAATTAAAATGCTATGGAGGAGTATATGCACGGAAGCCGCTATTCATTCCCCTAGGAGGAAGGTCGGCATGACATGGACAGGATTCTCGCCGTCCTTTTCACTTGCAGTTTTTGGAAGTGGGGGATGAGGGTGGTGGGAGTCGTGTGGCTCTGTGGAGCTGCCTTGTAACTTACGGCCGCAGTTTGGCTAAGCTCCATTTCTTTCTGTCTTTGGTTTTGACTGTGAGATAAAGCAAACCTGAAAAATGCAAATGCTGCCGCCTACTATGTTGCTATCATTTTTGGTCACTGGGAGCACTCTTCCCAGTGGCTGTAGTAGGTGAGCTTCTCACATGAGGGACAATGAGTGCTGATAGTATTGAAATATGATTTATTCCTGGGCTTAAATTTGGGGTATATTGCATGCCAGTGCTTCTCACAGATTTTCAAACCTACACTATAAATTGGGAGATTCCAGCCCTCTGGAAGCCATGCTTCCACATTTGCAAGCAGCTGCTCTCCCTGTGGCACCACGTCCTCTCTCTTGGTCACGGCTCAAAGCCCATGTCACACACCTCCTGACTCCACCTCCACCACCATCCCCAGCACCCCTGCTTCATGTGCTGCCCAGGCCAGGCTGTGCTTCTCCGGGCTGTCCCCCATGCCACAGCATGCTTTGCAGGCCAGGAGCACCCCTGGATCACCCAGAGCCTGCACTCCAGCTTTTTGAGTTTGTGAAATAAAATTTGTGTTTGTCTTGAGAATATAACCTATTTTTTTCTTTTCAGTGTTTCAATATAAAAAGCATCAATCCGCATCTTTTCACATTGTCTACAATGCATTTAAATATGCTCAAAACATTATTATGTCACTATTTTATTGTCACAAATTCTTTCCTACATCTAAAGTGTTAATAAAATCAGAAATCAAACGTCACTTTGTGTCTAACTGTGGAGATACACAACCCCAGGGAGCTGGGGTTGTTCAGCCTGGAGAAGAGGAGGCTCCAGGGAGACCTAATAGCAGCCTTCCAGTACCTGAAGGGAGCCTACAGGAAGGCTGGGGAGAGCCTGTTTACAAAGGCCTGTAGTGACAGGACGAGGGACAATGGCTTTAAGCTGGAGGGGAAGAGATTTAGATCTGAGATTAGGAGGGGGTTCTTTACTGTGAGGGTAGTGGAGCACTGGAACAGGTTGCCCAGGGAGGTGGTTGAGGCCCCATCCCTGGAGATATTCAAGGAGAGGCTCGATGAGGCCCTGGGCAACCTGGTCTAGTTGGGGGTGTCCCTGCTGACTGTGGGGAGGTCGGACTAGATGACTCTTGGAGGTCCCTTCCGGCCTGGGAAATTCTATGATTCTGTGATTCTATAATGGATCCAAACGTCTTTTCTTCATTTTACCATGGCCAGACATGATATCAGATCTGGTTCTTGGGGAGTGTTGGCCGTCCCTGAGGCTAACCCAAGGGCTGCATTGGACGGTGTCGACTGCTGCCAACATGGTACTCCCAAGTCCACACAGGGCAGAGCCTCAAAATAAACTCTTCTGCCTCAGTCACAGTGTGCCTGAGAAAGTGTCAGTGTGAATATACGTATCTCTGCTACATTTGCACAAAGTAGTGGCTGAACACTTTCAGTGTGAAATTGGTTTCTTTGATTAAAATCAAGCTTTCATTGACTGCCACTACTGTTCTCCATTTTTAAACGGTTTACATCAGTTCTGAAACACCTTTTATTCTGTTTTGACATTTCCCTCTTTGACAGCTTTGTTGAAGAGGAAGGTATAGGCATTGTCTACCACTCTCCTCCTCTAGGATCTCAGATCCCTGTCTAGTTCCCAGGAGTGCCTATCAGAACAGTCTGAGTGATCCTTTCCATCACTGTAAATCTAGAATCAATTCAGCTTTGAGAGCAGATGCATTTCTTTGGCAACATGCCTTTGCTGCCTCTGATCATATCAAAAACAATATTGGAAGATAGAAAATAATATCCATGGCATCAGGAAACCTGTTTCTTACATGCCGCTTCAAGTACCATCACCAAACTTGGTAAGTAGGTATGATTATAACACAGGAAAGTACTACAGGTTTTTAATGGAACTTTCAAAGTAGCAGGTTATTTCTGGAAAGTGGATATGATAATATTAATACATGACTCTAGTAAAATATCTGTGGGGTCTTTTTAACCTTACTCTCATGTCTTCATAGTGAGCTACTCACTATGCGGGCTTAAACAGTCAAAAGAAGCCAAAATGGATGTGTTTATTATGCATTGTATTCTCCTCTTCTTTCTCTGGTCAGTCATACGTCAGAGCTGTTGCCTCCAGTATGTGTTGTCTGATATTTCCTGTTTCAGATGAGCAGGTATTTAATAATACGTATGCTGAAAGACAGCATCACTAAACCCAGTGCTTCCAGCTTCTATTTTTCCAGCTTCTTGGGAGAAAATGCTTCTATGTATGTCACCTCCTTAATCACAGTATTCCCTCTGATCACCATTTCGGATGCCTCTTTAGTATCTTGCATGAAGTCATTATGACACTAGAAAACATTTTTCTGAATCCTAAATGTCGTGTCAATTTTCTGTGGTTTTTCCTTAATGGATTTCTGAGAACAGAACTAGCTTTTCTATCAATTTTAAATCAATTCAAGTTTTGTTAAAGTATCTGTCTTGGATGCATTATCACAGCCAATTACTGACATTGAATTTCAGGTTTATGAATTTACATAAGGTTATTCAAAAGAAAAAAAAAAGAAAAAACATACCTGATTACTATGTACAGTTTTCTTATTTTGTGAATTCTTGATTTCCTGTGAATTGTCTCCAAGACCTGGATCTACAACATCCACACCATCACTGTCGTTCTGGGGCATGACAAGACCAGGAATTCTATCCGTTCAAATGAAAATCTGAAAGTCTTTCTCATGTGCAGTAAGGACTGGTTTTACTCTGACGCCTGCACTATTACTCAAAGCTGTCAGTTACGGATGGTGCTCAACTAATGCCAACCTGTTGTTTTCTTGATTCAAAGTCACAAGTCCCCCTGGTGCTGCCCGTTACCTAAAGTTTACAAAGATGCAGCCCTTCTCCCTGCCAAGGGCAAAATGGCCTATTTGCATCTTCCCTGGATTGCTAGTACTTTTGCTCCATCTAGTAATGCATATGCATAACCACATATTTTTAAAAAATACGTACTTCTATGGCTCTTGGAATAAAACAGTATCTTTAAAGAGGCTTTACTGCATTAATTCTCTGTGGTATACCTTTAATCAAAGTGTGCTGAGGGTTGAAGACAGTCATAATCAGCTCCACTATTTCTACTTTTTTTTTTTTTTCTATTCTGAAGCTGAGTTTTCTTGTTTCTTAATGCTTTCAAGGGTACATTATTTCTTTTTAATGATCCTTGAAAGGCTAGTTCTTATTTTGGTTTTGTAAGAAAGCAGCTTCACCAAAATGTCAGATATCTGTTATCTGCAATTGATATAAATGTTTTATATTTCAGTGGTTTCTTATGGCAGCAGTTACAGTACGGTCATTCCACTGTGGTTTATTGAATGAAGTATCTCATTAATTACATGGTAATAACACCAGTAAATTAGTATTTACAATTAGCCTTCTAAGAAAATTACCATTTCCAAATGAACAATACAAAATAAGCTTAATCACAGTAAATTATGATAAAGGCAGGAATGAACAGTACTA